GAGTGAAGTAGCTCCTCAGGTTTTCATCTCGGTCCGGCTTTATGCTGAGTAGCTGGGTGACAGGCTTCTGGTGACGGCGTTCTCCAATGAAGTGTGACACGAAAGACCTGCTCAGCTCAGCAAATGTGTCAATGGAGGCTGAGGAGAGTTTGGCGAACCATTGCCGAGCGGATCCTTTTAAGGTGGTTGAAAACGCTCTGCACATGATTTCGTCGGGGACGTTGTGCAATTGCGTCAAGGTTTTAAAAGTTTCAAGGTGGTCCAGCGGATCCTTCAAACCGTCAAAGGTCTCAACGGATGGCATCTTGAATTTTTGAGGGAGTGGGTAGTTCACCACATCAGCTTTGAAAGGTGTGTCGATTCGACTTACGAGGTAGTCTACTGTCTCGGGGCCCTGCGCCTTCATGACGTTGAAGACGTTACCTAACTGATTTTGCACCTCCCTAATTTTTTCGTCCTATTTATTGGGAGGAGGTCCTCTGGAAGTATCACGAAAATGGCTCTCATGCTCCATGCTTTGATTTTCACCCTCGTCCTCTTGGAGAGGAGGGTCTCCACCATGGGGAGCATGAGCAGGGGCTGAAGGAGGAGGTCCCTCATGGTGGGCCTCCCTATGTGGGGCGCCTAAGGGAGCTCCCAAAGATGGGGCGCCCAAGGGAGCTTCCAAAGGTGGGGCGCCTGGATGGAGAGCTCCTTGGTAAAGAGCTCCTTGATGACTAGGGAGTGGAGCTCCCCTGGCTTGACGTCCAGGTTGCACCCCTCCTTGTTGCCCGAGCATTAACTTAAGAATCAGCTAATTCTGGGCCATGAGCTGCTGCATGGTCTCCAGCATCTGCTGCGCATTTGGGGCGGGATTGGCAGGCGGAGGAGCAATCTCCTCCTCTCGTGGTGGATTGTCTTCAAGGAGATTCATCGATCTGAAGGGGACGGCGACAAATTCAACAAAGAAGTGTTTAGGTGAGAATTTTATCGATTTTCATAGACGACGTCAAACTGATGATACACAAAATCGATTTGTACACCACTCGTCAATCAAGCAATATAAAATGCAGTAAGTAGAGGAAGAGAGAAAACAAGATTTATAGTGGTTCGGTCAATGAGACCTATGTCCACTTTCAATGGTTAGGTTGGCCGGGAATTTTATTGACTCCGATGCGTTGAGAGAGCAAGAATTACAAGAGAGAGATGAGCTTGATTTTGTTGAGATGCCCCCCAAGTGTTGGGGGAGCTTACAATTTATAGAAGCTTGCGTAGTAATTGAGTAGCTTGACGGTTATAACGGACCGGAAGCAACTTAATAGCTGGCGACCTCTCCTCTTCCTGGCGACCTCTTCTCATCCTCAACGGGCAAGGGAATAGCTCTTGGATGCTCCCGTAGCTCCCTGATGGGCTTAACCGTCTTGGACCTCATAGGGCTTGCTTGGTCTTCTATAAGTTTGGGCTTTTTTCCATGGATTGGGTCATTTGGGCTTGACCCATCAGAAGTGTCCCTAGGCTTTGTACCATTGATATGCAAGAAGGTTGTCCACTTAATCTTATCAGTTGTGGCTGCTTGTGCCTTACATCTTTTCCACCTCAGGATTTCTACAATCCTCTTCCGAGGCCATAGCCCAAGAATAAAAACTAAATATTATCCTCTATTACATCAATTCAATCACACATCTACCAGTTTAATAAAAAAATTGTGACCTTATGCCTGCTCAATGATGTAATGTAAGAGAGGAGGCGCAAATTTAGAATGCAATATGGAGCCTACTATAATCAAGTCCAGGATTGAACTGAATATTCTTATTGTTGGTTCTAGCTCTTATAAGCAGCTAGTATTGTTTTAATTGAATTTGTCAACGACATTACCAATTTGAACCGCTCCACATGGGTTGCACTTAAAGCCTATAAACCTTATTTGAGTCATGTACTGGAGCATTCTAGTCGAACTTTAGCGAACGCGCACACATGTTTACTCCGTCACTGTTGTTCTATTAGGCCACCATGCTTTACCCTTATCTATACAAAAGTGCTGTAACAGCTGAATTTGAAATAGGTGAATGAAGCTATGCTGTTTACAATGTGTTGCGTGGCTTCCTGTAGTGACAATGCCTAATATATGATGCATCCTTACCTTAGGGCTCATTCTAACAGCGTATACACTGTTCACATATCGACGAACAGGCTTGCTCGATGACACAGCAAACTCACAAAAGACTACGAGATAAAACATACAAGTAATGCTAAATGAAGAAGAGAAATGATAATAATACTTGCTAGTAGCGCGAACCCTCTTCCGTCCGCGTAAGGCTTGGAGCTCTTCCATGACAGTTTCGACGAGACTTTGAATAGAATAGCTACGAACGCTTCCATAAGAATGGAGATATTGTTCCGACCGAAAAATTGATAACCGAAACCCTAGCTTCGAGTGTCTCCAATACTGTACAGTACTGAATTGATGCATACGGCATCGGTAACCCGCGAGTGCTGGCGATGAAGCGGAGCGAAAGACTGAGCAAGTGTTTACGGCTCGAACCGCCATAGTAAAGCGAGAGGGTGAAAGCTAGAGATTGAAAGTAAAAGAGTTCATGTGAACTCACACAATTGCATGGAAAGAGAGAGAGAGAGAGAGAGAGAGAGAGAGTTAAGATTTGATTTGTGCAAGAGCTGTGGGTTGGATTGTTGATAAAGCTTTAGCTTGAGTGAGAGAGGGGGGGTCGTTTCCACAGTTACTGACATGTAATAGTCGGGCCGGACAGCTGTTGGGTCAAACAAATATATGGTGACCCATGGATCCTAGATATCAACTTGGCAAGCTATAAACGGGTGAGCCATCGGTCAATTCCCATGGAATATAGATCGCATTCTATTAACGGGCCAACAATTAGGCCGAAAACAAGGCTCCTCATTCTTTCCATTGGCTATTGGTTGCCCTGGGCCTTCCAGGAGGCAATGGACCATCAGGCCAATGGGGCAGCCCACAGGCCACAAAAAAACTAGTATAGGCTTAAAAGAGTGACAATCCAGTCACGTGATGTAAACTTCAAATTGTGTCATTTTTGAGTCGTAATATTTGTAAATCATGTTTTTTTTTTTGTATTGTTTTCGTGTTATTTTTGTATAATTGGTTTAAAAGAAATTCTAAGATGAAGACCCTCTTTCTCGTATTCAAATCTATCAACCATATATTAAAAATCTATTAGGTCTCCATTCTAGTTGTGTGCTTGACATTTTACCCAATTAATTTATCATTCATGGCAATTAATCACGTCATTTTTAAGCTCATATCGTATGGAGTCTGTATTTATTAGTGTATTGCCTTAATTTATAACAGGTTTTATCAAAGGATTTTTCTCAGAGAGCTAGGATGAGAAAATTCATTCCCAGCTCTCTATTTACCTATTTCCTTAATTCTATGTTTGGATTAAAAAAAATTGAAGAGAGAGAAAGTTGCATCATTTCTTCAAACTAATTTTTTTGTTGCTATATATATATTTGGTCGAGCACTATTACAAAGAGGGGGACAATGGCGTTCGAGCCCTTGACTTTTAAGATTCTTTTTTTTTTTTGTTGGGTTAAAAGAAGAGGGTGAGAGTAAAGAAAAACATCCAACGACCATCCTGATAGGGCCTCACCGGAGGATCATAAGGCTCCCTACTATGCCTGGAATACCTCTCGGGACCAGACTTAGCTAGATTAATATAACGGGCGACCACCAAACTTTAATGGGAACTCGAATTCTTAACCTAAAGGTGAGGAGTAAGGCCAGTACCCCACTAGACCGCCCTACTTGGTGGTGACTTTAAGATTTAATAATGAGGACAATAGTCATTAGACCAACCGCTAACATTTTTCGATACTATACTTGTTTTACAAAATTTTCAAATTCAATTTAACCTATTATAGCATCTTCAACTATAATTCAAATTTTTACTCAAATTTGACTTAACATTTGAGTAAAAAAACTTGATTTAATATAAAGAACTCCAATAAACAAACTCAAATTTAAATAAGGGTAAACCCAAATTTTAAAAATGGTAAAATATGATCATTTGATCTTCTTAGAAGATGAAATCTAACCATTAAATATTTGGGTAAAAATTTGAGTCTCTTAATTTGAGTAAAAAAATAAGCCTCCTATAACTGGATATGGGTTTGGGCATAGAATTGAAGAAAGTTTTTAAGATTTTTTTTATATAAATTTAAATTTGGATTTAAAAAAGAGTAACGATCGGATAAACCCGTATAGTTCAAAGAAATCAATGAAAAATTATATCACCCGAAGTCAAATTTACAGAGAAATAGCATGAAACAACTAGAGACAACAACAGAGGAGCGTTTTAAAANTTTTTTTTTTTTTTTTTTGGGTTAAAAGAAGAGGGTGAGAGTAAGGAAAAACATCCAACGACCATCCTGATAGGGCCTCACCGGGGGATCATAAGGCTCCTTACCATGCTTGGAATACCTCTCGGGACCAGACTTAGCTAGATTAACATAACGGGCGACCACCAAACCTTAATGGGGACTCCAAAACTCAAATTCTTAACCTAAAGGTGAGGAGTAATGTCAATACCCCACTAGACCGCCTTACTTGGTGGTGACTTTATGATTTAATAATGAGGACAATAGTCATTAGACCAACTGCTAACATTTTTCGATACTATACTTGTTTTACAAAATTTTCAAATTCAATTTAACCTATTAGTGCATCTTCAACTATAATTCAAATTTTTACTCAAATTTGACTTAATATTTGAGTAAAAAACTTGATTTGATACAAAGAACTCCAATAAACAAACTCAAATTTAAATAAGGGTAAATCCAAATTTTAAAAATGGTAAAATATGAACATTTGATCTTCTTAGAAGATGAAATCTAACCATTAAATATTTGGGTAAAAATTTGAGTAAAAAAATAAGCCTCCTATAACTGGATATGGGTTTGGGCATAGAATTGAAGAAAGTTTTTAAGATTTTTTTTATATAAATTTAAATTTGGATTTAAAAAAGAGTAACGATCAGATAAACCCGTATAGTTCAAAGAAATCAATGTAAAATTATATCACCCGAAGTCAAATTTACAGAGAAATAGCATGAAACAACTAGAGACAACAACAGAGGAGCGTTTTTCAAAATTCTTAATTTGAATTAATACATCACAGCAACTAGTAGTAGCATCTTCAATCCCTATGATTCTTATAAATCAATGACAAAGCAGTGAACATAGCCCCCGAATCTGAGAAGTGGTGGCATTTGACAATGCATATGTCTTGCTTTTTCCGGTGCTTGAGCATGTTAATGTGAGCTGGTCACTAGTTTGATCAGCCTGCAAGAATGACATTGGCTTAATTCACATCAAAATTGTACATATAATATGACAAATACATGTACGATACACATTTTCAACTGCTCGTTTGACATACAGGAAAATCTTACAAAAAAAGGCGTCACAATGCATGATGACTCCTGCCACTATGGCGTACGGGAAGAGTCAAATGTATGCAACCTTACCCCGCATACTGAGAACCTATTTTTGGGACACGGGAAAATCTTATGCAACTCAAAAAAGGCCATAACAAACATCTTGTGCACATCAAGTCAATATGGACTAGCCTACTTTGTAGTGAATTTAACTGTGAGAAAAACTTCAGTTAAGTAACTCTTTATTTTCTTTACCAATTTTCTTTCGCAAGAAGGTCAATGCATTATGTTTAGAAGTTGAACAATTCAATTGCACACATTCACATAGCAGTTCAGGTTTGAAACATTAGTTTGGCTTCTAGGACAGGACTAAACCCATCGAGATGCACACTATGAGAAATCGACTACAGCAATTACATACCAGGCATGAAACCGGCTGTGTGTTGCAGCTCCACCTCGAAGTAGGAACACAACTCAAATAATGGCACCAAGAACATTCATCATTTAAATCAACCCCACGAAGAAGAATAACCAGGCCAACAGTGAACCTGTTAAAATCACAATGGGTTGTTTTTTACTCAAACAGAAATAAATTCAGTACCTTATTAAAACATAACCAGATAAGTGAATATTAGATGATGAAAGGTGGGGTGGGAATCAGAGTCCAGGAGCAAATTAGCTCAACAATCAATAACCAAATTATGTTCAGTTTCTTCTTTTGGATTATATAATCTTTTATTGTTTTAACCTCTCAATCATGATGTTCATTGGGAGATGAAACCAGATAAGATAAATGGCTAATGATTAAAAACTAATGTTACATGGCTAGGGCAAGGCAAACAAACTTGTTGAGCTGCAAGGAAGATATGCAAATCAGACGAAAAAAGGGTAACCCCCCCCCCCCCACCCCCCCCCCAC